GTTTTATTTTCCTGATGTTTCGGATTCCGTCGGGAATCCTTAATCATAGGAACCCTATCTGCACATGACTATGACTATGCTACCGTTACCTATGATTAAGAATTCCCGACGGAATCCGAAACGTCAGGAAAATGAAACTCTTGTTCCAGTGGTCACATCATCTTCTTCTGAACTGCTTCCTAGAACTCGCATATTCTCCACTATTGGCAACTATTTTCATGTCATAACACGTTTCTGCTGATGTGAATATGGTGATGAGGACCAACTTGTCAGGCGGATTTACAACTGTTTACTTATCAGGTTCTTGCCCGCTGACTCTGGGCTTATTCGAGGTCGTGGAGAGACATCTCAATTTCCGTCGCACACGTATACGACGGGTACACCGCAGCCAGCCTAGTAGACAAGGTCGTGTGTTAAATTTCTGTGATACCGAGAACACATAAGGAGCAGAACAAAATAAGTCCTTGTACAGTAGCATTTTAAGTAATTCCACAGCACTAGTGCAGTGGGAATCTTACAAACATTCGTCCTCGAACGCAGCCGATCATTGCTGTTGCAATGAACTTCAGCACCAAAAAAAGACAATTCAAATGAAGACATGGAGAGAAGGAATCAAATGCAGATAACTTTCCTACAATAAGTTGACAGTACACGCAACACTTTTCCCCTCTAGAACAACTTTAACTAGAGACTCAGTCTGAACGCTAACGACTATTTTTTAATCAGGAGTTCACAAGACAATACGGAGAGTGAAGTGCGTATCATAACAATAAATCTGTCGAGTATCAAGTAACAACTGCAGGCCAACTATCGGTGCAGCTCTGTGGTCTGTGTTGTCACGACAACTGACAAGTTGCACTTATTGATCTATCTCGGGCTGTGGGAAAACGCTACTAGAAAAAAAAGGCTAGTTCACACATGACAAGTCACAAACTGACAAACGCGTGCCAAGAGCCAATGTGACCTCCGTTTAAGTTCAATGGGCAGTCAGTCTAGTTAGCCTGGAATGGACACTATGCGAACAAACAACGCCCATTAACTACAGTCAGTGGACGATTTCACGCAATGTTAACGACCATTTTAAGATGCCTTTATGCGTAGGGATGATTGCTTTAGTGGAAATGTAGTACTTATTAGCCTGGAGCGTAGTCCCAAGATATTTCAGACAAAGTAGGATGCCGCCTTCTGAAAGAACTCCTTCTGGTTTCCTGAAATATCTCATTGGAAAAAATGACTACTTAAGAAGTGTACATTAGGGAATCCTGCGTTGCAGCTAGCTTACCGCGTCCGTATAAGTGGATTTCATGCGTGCAGTAAAGTTGGGCAAGCAAATCGACCTACGTGTGATTAAATTCACGGCTCACGGTGAGCGTCGTAGCTCAATAGTAGAGCGTTGACTGCGCAAAAGCCTACCCTGCTGTGTGGAATCGACTCCCACCGAGGCCGCGAATTTTTCATAATTGGATCAATCGAATTCCTTTATATATATTTGCGATGCCGTTACATTTCTAATTACATCTTACAGAGAATATCAGCAAACATATTCTCTCTGGAACCGATTAAGTCAAAAATAATGTCTTCCCCAAATGTGTATTCAGAAGAATGGCAGGTCTAGGTTTTAAAAAAGTTTTTCGATTCCTAAATAATGTTTAGCCCGATCTACTATTGCAATCGCATTTAGTGTTTTTAGTCTACAAGCTATATGCGTTCCGTGGCGAGAATATCATATTTGGCCACATATCATCAAGAAGCCAACATACTCTGGTCATACAATTTTGCAGCGGGTCTGAATTATTTCGTATACTTCTTGACGGACATTAATTAACGGATCGATGCAATTCGGTTCGAATGGACATTGTGCAGTCTTAAAAACCTTCACAGTTAGAGCCTTTTCTAAAATCATTAGGTAGCCTTCCATTGAGAATCAAAATTTAATCAGTCGAGAATTGCATTCAAGTGAGTATAAAGATAAATATTTCTGCTTATTTTTTACTAAAAAAATGTATTGGGCATCGAAAAATGCACAGAACTTATATAGTCATATTTTGTCGAATTAAGTTTTTGCTGGAGACCGAAAAGGTGATTGTTCAAAAATCGGCATTCTTTCGTGTCTGAAGTATCTTGAGATTACACTTGGAGATAATCGATATAGCAACCGCACTTAAGTAAGTCTTTCTGCTCGAAAACACATTTCAGTACTTTGCTTAATAGTTCATCAGATCGGTCACTGACTGTAACTGTCTTCGCTCGAACAAGTCCACGAAAAAATGCGACAGAAAATTACGAAATTTCCTTCATCCCTATTGAAGGATGTCGTCACGTGCTTCTTAAATCCGCAGAAACATTTGCCTCCGTAGTTCCCAATATATAGGGTGAGACTTCTTGTGAACTCTCTTCTCCCTGACCGAATGCACGAACAAGGCGATCGATCAGTGATAAAAGAGGGTTATACATATAAAGCGTAGGCGTTAAACGGCATATTTAACTGGAGCAGCTGACAAGTTGATTGAAGGAATATGAATTTTACATACTGACTTAAACCCACTTAATT